ACAGGCTAGGAAAGGGTAATTTGGAGCCTGTCGTTCACGTTAAGTGTTATATTTTAACTTTAGTCGAGCTCGCCGCGACAGGCAGGAAGGAGGATGGACTGGGCCCAGTCGGTAGGAAAACCAGATTCCTAAGTGGATAATTTACCACTTCCAGAGACTCGCACAATCCACATACCTTCTCCACCCAGCGGGTAAAGCCCGAACACACCCACTCACACGAGCACAGAGTACATGTAGACAAGCCTATGAACCACTTCATTCTGTGATGTAGCCGGTCTCAGACCTGGTCGTCGGGCGACTAGTGGCAATTTTGCTTCCTTTGTTTACAACTGGCCGAACGGATCAACCCGACACACGTCCGTCCCATTTGCCTCCATAACTCTCATCCTCCCCCAGCGGCCCATCTCACCGGACAAATGTACACAAATGCGTATGAATATACGAGGAATCTCAACATCAGGCCTCGTTTGTCCCCTATGACTATCTATCCACTGGGGTGTTAGCGACCCCGATGCAAGTGGTCCGAGGTACCGTGGACACGCGGCACTGATTAAGTTCTCGAGGAAACGTCACTTGTCCATCCCCTCTCTTAGCCCCATTTTGGGCTCAACCTGCCCGAGGGTGGCAGCCGGAGCGCCAATTTCTGGTGTACCCAAACCGGATGGGATCATGAGACTCCTCGCATAAAGCCTCATCCTGTCCATGTCCTCCTTCCTCCACCTCCCTCCCGCCGCCTGCCAGTGACACCTATACCTTTGCAGATACTCATCCTTCACGTTCCACAGGCCTCAGCCGCCTGACCCGGCCACCTTCATATGGCCTCATATACCCTCGTCTGCCAACTATCAACTACCGTTTCGGTCAAACTCAGTCCTCTCTTGTGTTATTGTTACCGGTAGCGGCCTCTCACCGGCCCCTTGTACGGGGCTCCGGACAAAATAATGGGCACACATGCCTGTTGATCCGCCCACAAAGCTGAGAAGTCGTATGCAGGAGATATCATGACAACTGGAAAATCAAGTTTGTATGGCTGAGAGTTTAGGATAGGGTTGAGTGGGAAGTGGAGGTTGTTGGCGGACGGACGGAAGAGGGTAAGAGAACTAAAGAAAAAATCACAACAAAACGGCCCGATCGAATGGGAGACCAGCGTGTTAGGCTAGAGACAAAAAAGTGTATGACTGCATATACAGACTGGCGCGTGCCGAGGATTCGGCATAGTCGTCTTTCACCCGAATCCGGTGCACCAGTTTAACGGCAGACCTTCTCTTTGTCCCCACTGGCATCTTCTGGTCGCGTCCATTCCCTGCACAAAGTGACCAGAAAGGGTTCATTTTATGTTTTCTTGTCTCTCTTCTCCCATCCTTCCCTCTCCCTCTCTGCCCCCCTCTACCGCCCGTTAAGCCGAACAGCCCGCTCCCTCTAATCCCTGTTTTTCCCTCCCTTCCTCTACAAATCCATAATGGCCTAGTTTGTGGAGCGCGGTTAAACCTATAAAATCGGGAACTTGCCAGGCACGAGTTAGTGTTTCCGGATCCTCAATAATAATACTTGATACCGTGGTTCCACCCCTGTACCATTTCTTCTCTGCCCCTCCTGGTCGACCAACGACACACGGCCGAAACGGTGATTTGTGGCGCATAAGTGTCCATCTTCGCTAGAAAAGGCATAAGATGCTGATGTTTGGGTTGAGAGATCCTCCCACCATCCGGTTGGTTCCCTTTATTTAAGTCACCAACACGTGTCAAAATACAAACTATACTCAAAACTCAGCTCATGAGGTCACTATAGTTACCTACAAAATCCCGGCATTGGCTTGCATACATCAGTCACTTATAAAGGGAAGATAGTTTGTGTCAGTTTTGGTCAAGCTCTCTGCTATCTTCATTCGTTGCCTAGTGAAATAGTATCATTTTTTTAGAATGCATTCCAGGCCAAGTAAGTATAAAAAGTTTCGTAAGT